TTTTACCAGAGCAATGTCCTCCTCATGTCCTTAGATGTACAGGATAATTTACTCAATCCTCTCGTATACACAAGGAATTTTATTAAAATACCTCTCTGAGCTGATGAACAAAAGCAGGACGCGTGTACATTTTAGAGGTCACAGTCTGAAGGTCGATACCGTTCTGCTCAATGGAGTAATATCAGCTGAAAACAGGAATCGAAAAAAAAAAACTGTGCTCCACTTGTATCATTTTTGGCAGCTGGGCTCCCTCTGCTGGCCAGTGTCATACTGCACTCCCCTCAATCACAACCGTTTGACCCATTCGGTTTGTTTGTTTGGTTATTATCCTGAAGTCACCTTGACATTTAATGGATGAAACGATTCTGTTCTGATAATGTTAACACTAGAATACACGTGTATATAACAAATAAAATGCTCTCATTCAGGGATCCAAAAGAAATCCGTGCATCATCTGTAGGTACCGCCCTCGTCTTTGTCAATGTCTGATGTGAAGGACTCAGTTGATTTCCGTACTTACTGTTGATTTATTTGTCTGTACGCCTTTGTGTGGTGTGTGTTCATCCAACTTATTGATAACAACATTTCTGTTTCTGTCTTTCATTTAACAGGCTACCCAAGTTTCCAGACTACTACCTACACCAGTCGCAGTTACTCAGGACTTGCACCTGGATACACTTATCAGTTCCCAGGTTAGTTTTTAAACACGCATGGTTTAATGTTTTTTGTTTATCCATTCAGTCTGTGACGATGCCTCTGTCGTCCATTATGAACAGAAATCACAGTTATCACCTCTGTCTCCTCCAAAGACTTTTGGCTGCTTGTGCCTCATAAATGTCGATCTTTGTCCTTCCATTTGTTACATTTGCCCATGTTCCCTCTTTATTCTTCTGTGTTTGTTTATTTGATGACGACAGACTCTTTTATTCTGCTGCTCTGCCCCTCCTTTTCCTCTGGCCCCCCACCTTCCTGCCCTGTAGATTTTCAACTTTCTGTGCTTGTGCGCCCTCATTAGAGTTCAACATCTGTGACTTCATGTCTCCGAGTTCCTGTGTGTGGCTTTGTAGCTTGGACTGTATTCACAAAGCTCTCTCTCCCTCCCTCTCTCTTTACCTTAGAATTCCATTTAGAGCGGACTCCCCTCCTGACATCAGCCCACCCCCCTGAGCTGGCAGGTCAGTTTCTCCTCGCTTCGCCAAGATATATAAGATATAATAACAATAATAATAATTTCAAAAAAAAATTAAATGGTGGTATCATTGACTCCACATTTGCCTCTAAATTTGCTAAAAATGTAATTACAAATGCAATGCAACATTAAACACCTCTCAATATGACATTGCTGTGTGTAAATTTCCCCAGCAACAAGCTTTCGATCAACTGTTTTATTTCTTTCCTGTAAAGTAAGTTTTAGTTTCTCCAATAACACTTAGCTATTTCATTGGCCAAAGTTCTAATTAACAATTAAACAAACCCTAAAGGCTGTGAAAATGTGTTATATTTAGCTTTCATCCTTGAATAACTCCAATTAGATATTTCCCTCTAATGTCGCATCATGGTTTTAAGTCTAAATATCAAACATTTTCTTTTTCCGAGATTTGTTTTTTTTTCACTCCACACCATGCAATAAAGCAACAGACACAAAACTAACGATACATTTTAAAAAGATTGTGAAAAATACAACGTGTAATAAACATACATTTCAATGAGACAAAAACATTTCCTTTAATGTAATTCTCCCTTTTCTGCTCCTCAGTAAAATGAAAGCCTTTGTTTTCCAGATGAAGAAATGAGATGTGGGATTCATGTGGATATTTTTAGACAATGAATTCAAAAAATAATTGTCTCATAAATTATGCAAAATGTAGTTAGTTGCTACCCTCCCTCTGAGAAGGGTTTTAGCGACTGCCTTTGACTTCTCTAATCACCAGAAACTGATTTGGAGCATTCTTAATGCATTAACATTCAAAATTAGAATATATAATGTCTTTTTCAAGACAGGGCATCGTTCCCTGTTTATCCACTGTATGTTCAGTGCACATGACCTTAACTTTGATCTACACACTGTCCTTCAGCTCTGTCTTTATACTGCCATCCAGTGGCTCTTGGTTTTACTGGTAGTGTCGGACCAGCTGTTTACAACAATGTTATTCTGGTCCCTTTTCAAAGAGCCTCAAGTCTGAGGTCACATCCACGGCTGTAGCTATTAAGATTTTCTGAGCAGGGATGACATTATTGTCAGCTGACATCTGAAATGTGGCGACAGAAGTGTGAACAGATGTTGGGCTGCAGACTGTTACTTATGATTTTATGCGAGAGCGATCCAGAGTGAGTGCAATGATATGGTTTTTCTGTCCTAATCCTCAGCCATTCCCCTGACTGCATATGGACCAATGGCAGCAGCCGCAGCAGCAGCAGTAGTTAGAGGTATGTACTGATTGTGATTCTGTTTGCACATATTTGCATGCTTGCCTTAGGTAGTATGGCCTGCTTGGACAAATAAAGAATATTTTTAGACTGTGCGTGCGGTGTGTGTGTCTAAAAAGCCTTACTTATCTCCTCTCTCTTCAAGGCTCAACTCCTTCACGCACAGCTGGTTTCCTGGGCACCAGCAGCCCTGGACCAATGGCTGATCTGTATGCTGCAGCCAATCAGGACTCAGGAGTCAGCAGCTACATCAGTGCTGCTAGCCCCGCCCCTAGCACAGGGTTCGGTCATGGTTTAGGCGTAAGTGTCTCTCTCTCTGTCGCTGTGTATCTCTCTCTCTCTCTAACACACCCACTCGCACTCACTTAATCATCTTTTGTTCATGACTCCTCAGGGTCCTCTCATTGCTACTGCGTTCACTAATGGCTACCACTGAGAAGACTCAGGTCACTGAAGATGGGAGGGCTTCTCTTCTGCTGATGAGCCAATCACAATACTGGCTGCCCTCTGAAGGCACAACCTGATTGGCCACCCACAGGCTCTCCTAGGCCGCCTGTGGTTCCACCCACCGACTGAATATCTTTTTAATTCCTGAACTCTTGTTTTTTTTGCTGTACTAATCTCATTACAACATAACATCCAAGTTTATCTCCTTTTTGTCCTAACAAGTAGATTCCACCCACTATTACACACTTCTCTTTTGAAGCTGAAAAAAGAAGCGTTTGTCATCTTTGACAAAGACACAGAGGACTACTACATTTTTATTTTTATTATTATTATTATATTATAATTATTTTATTTCACTGTTGTGTCATTTCACCATGAAATTGTCGAAATCTGTTACTGATGCTGGTCTGGAAAAAAATCACAAAGGAAGAACAAATCCAACTTTTTCAACTTCATGAAAACATGGGAAAAAAACTAAAATGTATATTTTGGTAGTCTTTAAAAAAAAACAAAACCTTTGTAATATTGTTATTAATAATGACATAATAATGATAACCTGTAAGGTATTTTATTCTGTAATTGGTTTTAAAGCAATGTTTTTATGTCTTCCTGTAAGATATTGTACATAGAAGCTGGGGAGGGTGGTGGGTGGGTGTCTGAGGGGCGGGGTTACTGAACCGGCTGGCATGCCATTGGTTGGTTTGGAATGGGTAAAGTGCAGGAGGTCATCTGCTGTGTTTTGTGGTCATCTCACTACTTTAAGCGGTATGCATTGTGGTAAATGTGTACGTCGGCCAGTGTGCTCCGGTGCCGTCTGGAACTGTTGACGGCTTCCTGGAGTTTGTCTGCCGTGTTTGTTCAGTTGAAAAAACTGCTTTTGTTACAAAGTCAGCAATTTGTTTGATTTCCTCTGACAAAAAACAAAAATAATAATCAATTTTGAGTTTTCAGTGAAACCAGATTTCTTACATCTTCATTAAAATAACTTCAGATGATGATGATGGACTATGTAAGAACCACAACCTTAAACAGGACAAAATCAGGGGTTCTTGGGGTCAGGGGTTGACTTCCTCTTTTTTTAAAATATTATATATTTTTTGTGCGATTCTCTTCTTAATATTTTGTTTTGTTTGTTTTTTGTTGTTTTTTTAATTCTTTTTATGCGGTGTGTTCCTCCGTGAAACAAATGAAGGACATTCTCAGAGAAGAAACTTAGAAAACCATCACGGTCATGTTCTGTCCTCCTGTCACTATTGAAGGTGCATGTGGTTGTCTGAGTGTGCGTGAGTGAGTGTTGTGCGCAAACATTAAGGTGTAAAATGGAACTACTTTTGGCAACAAAGGAATTATTTCCATTGCCTTTTTTGGTACTGAAAAAAAAAATCGCCCTGTTCCATTTTGGCTCATCTGCTCCTCTCCTCTGCCTCCTTCCCATTTCATATTTACTTAGAATACATTTGTGCTCCTCTGATGCTGACAGTTTATTGTGGATATACAGTTGCTGCTCCGTGTAGTGATGAACGGAGGGGGTCTGGGCAGGGAACCACAAATCGAACAGGGTCTCGCTCCCAGTCGGCTCTCTACAGACGACACTGGCCTTCAGGAAGAGGCAAAAAATAAATAAGAAAAAAACAACACAAACAAAAAAACCTGCTGGAACAAATTCCCGCAGGTTGTTTGTTCCGCCTCGTCACCACAGCAGAAAACTTCCTGATGCAGCCAGTGGTTCCTCTGTCAGACCACCTGGGACACGACATAAAACTACTGCTGGACACCAACACTGTAACTTTTTAACTTACAATAAAGCAATAAGTTATTTTTTACCTTACAAATGAAAATAGTACTATTATTGGTAATAGCAGACGGCGTGTGGGTAATTCTGCGGCATTAAGACTTATTTTCAGAAAAAAAAAGAAACTATATTTTTCTGTTTTATGACCTTGTTCCCCTTGTATATTGAGTTGACTTATGTTTTTTTGTGTTGATGTAATGAAAAAGGGCCAATGCTTTGAACAGAGCTTGTCGCTCTACATGAGCTGAGTTGAAGATAAAGATTTGGACTGTCCTCTGCCAAGCTTTACAGCGATGCTTTTCTTTTCTCCTTGTTGTTTTTTTTCTGACAGTTTCAATTTTAAAAACCTAATAAATTATTCTAAAGCATTTGACCATAATTGTTCTTTGCTGTGTTAATGGGCGTGTGAGTGGTTGTGTGTCAGTGACCCTGACTGGTGAAAAGGTCAGTGAAAATTCACTCTCAGCTTCTCCCTTTTATTTATTTTTTTACTATTTTGGTAAAGGTCTGCACAATGACTTGGCAGAGTTTTTACAGCAGATGCCCTTCATGATGCAACACAACCTGGAATCTGCAGACTTGGTTGATCTGAACTCAGAGCCTTCTGTGGTTTATTTTAACCTGCGTCAAACCGGAAAGAGTAGAGGAGAGAAAGTGTGACACTGAGTCATACGGTGTGAGGCAAGGAGAGAGCGTCCTGGGTTAGAGTCCCTAGTGGCGCCTCCTGTGTAGCAGCCTGTGAGTTGCAACTACGTACTCAATGACTCACACTAAAATTCCCAATTGTGGGACACATAAGAGACTCAATTATTATTATCGTTGTTGTTGTTAAATGTGATTTAGTTAGCGTTTGAAGGTTGTCTCTTTCAATGGAGGAGCCATGTGGACAGCAGGCAGGCAAGTACAAGATTACAGAGCCACACTTTTGTAATTTGTGTAGAATGAGGCCTTGGTGTTGTCTACATTTAAAATACATTTTATATGAAAAATGATTAATTTTAGTAATCCATTTTTCTACCGTAATGTCATTGTGTTGCTCTGCTTACTATGGAGCGACAATCAGGGCTACTCTACATATTCTATTCAATCTGATTCTACATAAACACTTGATATTTTTCCAAGCTTTTTCCCAGGTTACAAATTGAACAGCAGATTCACATTTCAGGCGTGAAGTTTGCAGCAGGAAGTCCTGTCAATGCAGACCATAGAGCCGTGATCTGTGTTGTGTGAGACAGTGACTAATGTGAAACAGCACAGAGCTGAGGGGAATCGGTTCTGTGTTTGTGTGCCCAGTCAGTAATGGTAAACAGAGTCTGATCCCCCTCTTCTCCTTGGGGCAGGGTCCTGGACAGAGGCCAGGAGGGTTAATAATCCGGTCCCCTCTCCCCTACCTCAGCCCCGCTCCCTTCTCACACAGCTAACCTCATTTTTTCAGCTTTGGAAAAGCGGAGTGGAACCAGTTCTCAGCTATAACAAACATTTTAACATAAGTTTAAATCCTTTTTTTAAAGGTCGGACATCTTCATCTGAAAGTGTCTTTCCTTAGATTTTTCTTGTTTTTGTTTGGATTTTGTTTCTCTTTTTTCACGGCTCTTCTTCACTGTAAACAGGAGCAATGACTCTGGCAGCCCTGAATCCACACGTGAAAAGTTCCCTGAATGGGAGTGCATTTTTTGACCACAGATCAACAGAAGATCAGGAACCTCCACCTCCGCTCCGCAGCTATCTCTGTCTGACTCTTTTCACCTGCTTCTGTCCTGCTTACCCTGTCAACATCGTGGCCCTGGTCTTCTCCATCATGGTAAGTAGGACCGGCCAAACTGGACATGACTGAGATTTTATCCTTTGTTGACAAATAAAACATTCTGGAAGATCCGCAGGTTGGGGTTTCAAGATTAAATGAAAAAAGAAACCAGATAATCCATCGCTGATTCATATACTCCACCAGAAAAGAAGAATGTTGTCCTAATGAAAGCGATCATTAGAATGTCAACAACTGTTAAATAAGTAACGTACATTTTCATTATTTTAATTACAAAACTGCCGGTTCTGCCATTTTCACCATGACCCTATCTTGTGTGACATATGCTATGATTAAGGGTTCTACAAGGACTTCCTCCTAAAAGGGTTTTACACTTTATTTCTTGTAAAGTATGAAATGTTCCCATGCAGGAACTAACATAGTTCTTGTTCTCGTGCCTGTAAGAACATGACAAATCTCTCAGTTCTTGTGGAGTACGTACTGTTCCATCCTTCAGTCTTCGTCAGCATGTGTGGGCCACGGTTTTTCACAAAGAATAAAAAAAAAAAAAAAAAAAAAAACAGTGTTTCTGACAGTGTTTAATATAATGAGCATTCAAAGGCCTATAGAAAATGTTAGAAAAACAAAATGCTCCAATATTTTAAAAATTAAAGTCAGGCCATTCAGACTGTTTCTGAATAAAAAATAAAATAAAGAAATCCAGAACACAGTGATTCATATATGTATATATATCTATACGGTATTCTGGAACACATTAGGTAATCACAAAGGAGGGAAACCACAGCAGAACAGTTGTAGGTGGTGAAGTTGATTGCGTAGGAGAAACAGAAGAGAGAAAAGGGCAGAGCAGATGTGACATCTGGAGCATCATCAGGTAGAGAATCAGACAACAGTGACCACTGACTGTTGGGCGGCCCACGTCCGCACTACACCACACAAATAATGACAAAGAAAGTGTAAATGAAACCAGTAGGGAGCTGAGCTTGTGCTGAGATTTCCATCGTTTTAACTGTTGTTTTTAAACGACTTGATGTTAAATAATGTGTATCCATTTTCTGGGTCGTATCATCTAAAATAATTGCTTCCAAAAAGGTTATTAAAAAAAGTGGGATTTTTTTTTATATGTCTGGAACTGGTTAGGGTTTCATTAGACAGGATCACTGGGAAATACTTCACTGTTGACTCTCATTCCCCGGTTATTACAGAGCTCATCTGTTGGGATTGAGGCTAGATTTCCTGAGCTCCTGTCATATGATGAGCACAGATGGGGAAATTAGTAGTTTCATACGTACAGGGAATGAAGCCACAGCTTTAACTCTAGGTTTGCCGCTCTTGGTTTGTTGCATTGCAGAAAACCTTGGTACAAAGTATCATGTACTTCAATTTATAAGTACAGTATGAAGTACTGTCAGTCTAAGAGTTTTGAAATAAGACTCAGGTCATATTCAGCTGTGCTCAAATCCCATTACATCACTGAAGAGACAGACGTTCACTATCCTGTGCTGAGGAGGCTAGCATGCTAACATGGTAGTCACCGTAGCTAGAGCCAGTGAGAAAGGACATCTGGGGAGTTGAGGATGGTTTGTATTGTTCCAGATTCACATTAACAGTGATTCTTATGTTCAGTCCAGGAACAGTTACGATCACGGTAACTACGATGGGTCAAGGCGGTTGGGCCAGAACGCTCTCTATGTCGCCATCGCCTCCATTATCATCGGCCTCCTGGTCATCGCCATCACCTGCATCGTTCACTTCACCACAGTGAGTCTGACTTCCTCTTCTGTGACACACAACTCTACATTTACTCAAACCCATGGGAGCATGTTCAAGTCAAAGAGCATTTCGGTCAACCCTGACCTTTGACCCCCCAAGTTTAGACAGCACAGCAATCAATAGCCAAATATAAAGGAGCAAACTACATTAACTAAAGGTTACAAAAGACTTTTGTCTTTACAGTCCTATTGGACAGCTATACCTGGCAGTCACATCCAACCAAATGTCAAACCAATCTCAATTACCTTCATTGAGAAGTTAAAAAAACAATTCTCTAATTTAAAAATGAATTAACTTAAATGAGACTTTCATGGAGCTGTGTGTATAAAGTCTGTGCAGGTTTTAACACATTTCTCCTTTTTTCCTCCAGATGGACTTTTAGCACAGTGGACGCAGAACTGCCTCTTGATTTGATCACTGGCTGGACTCAGCTGATTGGTTCGTTCCATCAGCCAATGAATGAAAGGACTTCTTGTGTCCTGGATGTTATTACTGCTCTACATACATTTGTGTGGAAGTTTTGTTACATTTATTTATTATTTCTTAATTCTGTCCTTGTCTGCATCCACAGTTGCTGTTTGTCGCATCTTGAAGGATACATTTACAGTTTAACCTGGAAAAAAGACATTTTTTTATCAGTACTGACATGGTGGAATTACATACTGTACAACAAGAAGGTCAACGGTTTGATCCCTGGTGAAAACCATAGGCCTTTCTGTCAGTTTTATTTGACTGAATGCTACCACCTGTCCTCCTACATGTAGTTAAAGGATATCCAACCCTGACATTTTCCTTTGTTTGTTGATAAATGCAATTGATGTGTGTGGTGCGTCGACACAAAGACTTCCACAATTACTGATTTTCATCTATTGCCTAAAACATGTCTGCTGTTCGTATGTCATTTTATATCTGTCTCTAAAGATCTTTAGCCATCAAAGTCTTAAACATTTTTATCCACTTCATTCTACTACTAATACTACTACTAATAATATTCATTTGTGGGGAGTTACCTCCCCACAATTTACCATTGAATATTCACCTGAGTTACCTCCCCACAATTTACCATTGATTTGTTTGACTGAATATTTGGAGACCTCAGTCATAGAGGATACTTTATTTGCATTTAATAAGAATGAATCTAGTTAAAATTTCCAAAAAAAAGCCTTTTTTGAAAGAATGTATTTTGGTAAAATAACAAATTATTTTATGACTATTTTATGATTTTTTTGGAAGGTATGACATTTATTGTTTGTTGAAACAAAGGTTTATTGGATTAATCTATTATAGATTCATATTAATTATTTATTAATCTATAAATATTTGTTAGCTTTTTAAATATGTATTCCACTGTGCTGTCCGGTTTAAAACACGATCTGCTGAGGACATTTTCTGGTACTTTGATACGTCACAGTATCTCCCAAAACTAAATATAGCAGATACCACATCCATGCTGCAGGTGGCTCGGCCTGTCACATGGTCAGGCAAAAGTGACCCAGTTGTGTTGTCACTGAATCACAGAGGGTTCCATTAAAGACAGCACATTAATACTGGGCTGAAACAGACGGTTTCTGATCCTGAATGTGGTGACCTGACACCTCTTTCAGTCTTTTTCTGTTTACTTCACAGCTCTCTGTGATGTCCCCAGGTCTCTCCTGAATTCACATAACTAAATAACACACACTTCACATTGGATTTGCACCGTGAACTTTTACCGTCACTCATTTTTTAAGGACACAGGTGTCACACAAAAGCTTTGCCTCCGATGTAAGGGGCCGTCTGCCGTGTTGCGGCAGTCATTTTAACGCACTGAGACAAATTAGTTTGGAGCAGCAATCTTGTACGATTATCGTGCATTACTTGACAAAGAAAGGCGGCGTGTTTGTAGTGCCGCTGCTTTGATGTGACGCCAGAGAGAAACCCAAGAGAAAAAGATGAGAAAAGAAGTGAGTGGTGGGTGTAGGCGACTTGAAAGGACTTAGTGGGATTTCCATGGTATCAAGGTAGACTTTGTGACAGGAATTACTGTTTAAAATATTAAAGCTCATTTGTAATCACCATCACACTGAATGCTGGGAATCAAAAACCTTTGTAGTTACGTTGGAGGAGGCAACCGTACGACCTTGCTCCTTTCATTTTTGTGATTTTTCCTGTGCAGCTCCTGTTTACCTGGAGCTGTGCTGCTGCTGCAGCTGCTGCCTGCTCCAGCATGTTCACAGGACTCTCACTGTGACTCACACCAAGGGCTCATAAATAGGCCACTCAAACCAGCTGCTTCCACTAGCACCAGATAGTGGCTCCATGCATACATATCCCATAACACATTCCAGTCTGGGAGGCGCACCTCCATCCAGTTGGAATAAATGAAAGAGGATAACTGTAGGAAGGATGCAGAGCAGGAGGACGGAAACGTAAACATGCATTTACCTGATTTCAGACACAGCTTCAAAACCCCTGGGGATTTATTAAGGCTGATAAAGTAGTTCCTTAGTATTGTATTTTATTTATAGTGCGGTGTAAATACATATATTTTTTCCCCCTTCATTACAGCTGCATTAATCTTCTTTGTTGCCCCCTTGGGGCCACTGTTGCCACAACAGAGAGATGTTTTATCTGTGCTCCTTTTTTAAGGAATGTGCAAAGGCAGAGTACCACACTTGTAAACAGTATATTCAACAGAACTAATAATATCAATATTATTGAAATGGCTTCGTTTGGTTACATCCATGTGTACCATTAACATTTACCATCAAAGTGTCTTCATAGTGTGATGGTGGAATCGATGCCACAAACTGGGTCACGGCCATGACCTGTGCACAGCACCGTCCTTCCCGGGGTGCATATGGCTGTCATGAATAATGGGTGTTGTTGTAAATGTTATGTGCACCGTGTGTTGCCTGTAGTTTGGTTGTAAAGATATCGTACATTTGTAAACACCAGCAGTGGTTTAGACAGCTGTACAAAGCTGCCAGAAATAAAGTATCGGTATCAGTCCAGGACCTTTAATTCAGCAAATCCTGACAAGACTTGGAGAAAATAAATGCAAGTTTACCCACAGAGATGTTGTGGTGAGCTGTAATAATTATAGAGCTTCAAAGGTCATTAGCTACAAACTGAAGATATGGGAACGACTTAAAGCTACAGTCAGTGACTGTAATTCACTACGTACATATGGTGTGATACAGAAGAACAATATTGAGGGTGAAAGAAAGCTCCAGTAAATGTTTTAAGGGACAGGATGTGGTTCTATATATACACGAGTTAGGAGTTGCAGAAGAGTACGTGATGGTGGTGCAGGACATGTATGACGTATTAAAGGTCTTCATTTGGTCTGAGGTCCGTCCATAGGAGGCAACAGATTTTTGCTGGAGTTTTTGCTTTAATAAGAGAAGTAAGGTTGATGTCGTTTAGGTCAGTGTTTCCCAAACGTTTTTTCTGGGGACCCACATTTTAAAAGTCACCTTTGCGACCCAATAGACATTATTCGTAAACTCCTGGCAAACATGATGCGAGACGACCAAAAGAAAAAATCTCTTGCGACCCACCTGATTGTCGTGACCCAGTCTTTGGGAAACAGTGGTTTAGGTGATGGAACATGTGGCAGTGGAATTACATTCAATGTGGTGTCACATAAAAAGAAAATAAAGCAATAAAGGTTGACCCTTGTTAGAATAAATACAATAGATAAAAATTGTATTTAATTAGTTGTAGGCTACATTACTGGGAAAGTACAATAGGAAACTGAGATTTTTACAATATCCCTTTTTTGCTCCCATTTATGCTCCCAATAACAAAGAACAAAATATAAAAATGATCTAAACACATCCCTTTTTATGGTACAACTTTCCTTTTATGCTCCTAATAACAAGGAACAAAATATAAAAATGATCTAAACACCTGACCTAGATAGTGTTTTTGTTTTAATCACACTTGTGCTCACAGTCCCAGAGGAATGTTGTCATTGTTGTTTTCCAGATAATTCCTTTGGCTAAGATAAAATAACCAGCACTGCAAGTAATAACTCCTCCCACCTGTAGAGGGGTCTATCCCACTGTTTTCAGCAACAAACAGATTTGAATGATAAATTAGTAGATGGTAAATTAGCATTCTCAGTGTCATTTACCAGAGTATCTACCAGAGTAAATTACCTAAATTATCCAAAAGAAAAAAAAAATGTTACCAGTGAAACATTACATCAATAATTCACTCCTGTTTCTGACAGTGTTTTGGTTTAAACTCAGCTAAAATCTTGCATGTTCGCTTCACTTGACTGTAATGTTTTTGTGCCATGTTTTGATGAAAACGCATCGTTTACCCCTTTCTAAAATGACATTATCTTTCATTGGAGCTGAGTGAGTGTGAAACAGCAAAAACAAATTCCCCAAGGCCACGGTTTCAGCTGTGGTTCCAGACTAGAAGACACCTGAAATCCTACACTGAGTCAGACATATGACAGTGTTACCTTCACACTGGGAGAGCTGCACTGACACTCTGTGTACTCACAACTGACAAAAGAGCATCAAGACAACAGACAAAAAATGATTCATATGTATTTAAACATTTGGTACACATAAGACACCATAACTGCAGATGTATTTTTTTTTAAAGAACTCAGTCGTCAGTTTGCGATAAAGCACAACTGATATTCAGCTGTTGTAGGAAGATTTTTCCTTTTTTGAGATTTGTTTCAGTAAAAGAGGGGGTCCATAAAATTAAATATAATTGAGGTGAAAAAGACAAACATTTGTCCGGTGGTAACTAAAATAGGGGGTGGGCCCCACCTTTTGCACTAAAAACAATTCTATATTTCTGTGACACTCCAGTCTCAGTCTGGTCTTAATTCTTCTGTAAAGTGTCGGTTTTCGACTCGTTGGTATTTGATTTCCTCACAAAAACTGATATTTTTTCTGTGGGTACGCAGAAATAAACCAAGGAGGTGAGTTAGGTCAAGGTTTTGATTGCACCAACTGAATAAAAGCAGGAGGTGATGAAAAATAACACAGGTGCTTTGAGAAAACAGGGCAGCAGCAGAAACAAAACGACGACGGCGAGGACTGCAGCAGCTGTACTTTCTCAGGAAACGCTGCTCACTTCCATTGAGACTCCATCAGCGTTTCTTACATTTCAATACAGCTCAGCTCTACGTCTCTCTGTCTCCATCCTGTGTTTAACAGCTGAAATCATTTGTTTGGCCACATTGTTCTGCACTGCAATGAGAGAGAGAGAGAGACGTTGTTGTTCTGTCTGACAGGCGGCTGTGCTTGTTCTCCGTAACAGCCTCGTCCCTGCGCTCTGCAGCAAGAGAACTGTGTAATTACATCCATGCACTACGCTTGATATCACTGCTGACATCCACCAGCACAGCCCCACCTCTCTCTCTCTCTGTGTGTCTCTCTCGCTCTCTTTCCCACAATCCACCGTGCTCTGGCTCCTGTTCAGTTGTGTGTAGAGCAGAGCAGATGGAGAAAGGAAAAGAGCGTTGTAGACAGCCGAAGAAGGGACTGACGTTATATGGCTGACGTTCAGAATTAATTATGACATTTTTTATTTTTTATTATTAAGAAGACAAACAGTTGGCTCAGCTTTTTGGGTAAGTGTTAAACTAGTTCAGTTGCAAGTTTTTTGTTTGTTTGTTTTTTTTAAGCATATGGCAGTATATGGAATTTGAAACTCATGCAATCCCAGCTGAAAGTTACCAAAATGTACCAGTCAGGCTGTGAGTAAATACACAGTGTGGTAGTTGTGACTGTGGCAGTGTCACACTCTGTGGAAGTTCTGTCAGCAAAAAGAATCTTCTTCAGTTTCCTGAGAGTAAAAAGAGAGTGGATGCTGGTCTCCACCTGAGGGTTGATGGCTGCACCGAGGACAAATCAAACGCTCTCTGACTTTGTCAAATCCACCCGTCACACTGTGTGGGCAGCCTGGTTTCCCATCACTGCCTCTGGAGGGATGATGTTAATCTGCTGCCAGATGAGAGATCGTTCAAAGAGATCAAACTGATTGATACGAGCAAATTACTACTGTGTGAGTAATTGTGCCGTCACTTGGGTGCAGATTAAAATTGAAGTTGTTGTTTTTTTAAGGAGGAAATGTATTTGTTTGTGTGCCTGTGTTTGGCAGGCAGAGGCAGTGACAAGTAACCTCGGGGACAGGAAGGAAGAATTAAGAGCTGACTGGGAAGAAATTGAAATAAAACTGCACTTTCTTAGCTCATCATCTCGCCTCTAAACTTCTCAACAACTCATGCTGACATTTTATCAGTTGAAAGACAGAATCTCTTTTTGTTTTTTTCCGGAATTGTTATTTAGATTTTAAGTAAAATCTTCCACAAAGTTAGTCAGACTAAAGTTGTCTCAAAACAAAGGTGTAAAAGATCAAGTCTGGATAAGTTGTAAAAGAATCTGGTTCTCAGACTTAAAGACTGACATATTCACCACCAACCAACGTCTATGGGTCATTAAAACATTTCTTTCATTTCTCTCTCTCTCTCTGACTGTGTTTTGTTGTGTTTCAAGGGCAGAGCTTTAATGAAAGTGTCTTAGTTGCATCAGCTGCAGCCAACTTTGGCAAGCTTTAACATTCTCTTGCCTGAACTTAGTTAATCTTCCAGAGATACTTACTGATGAAAAAATCAAAAAAGAAAAGTTAAAAAATGCTGTTTTGTTATTTTCTGTGTATCATCCAGTTAAACGGTTGCTGCACTTTCTTTCATGCAGGTGGTGCTATTAACATAACTGCAAAGTCTAGGTCCATTGAGTCACATAAATTTAATCATGTAAGTCAAAGTGTTTCAACTACAAAGTGGTGTTGTGTTTAGCTTCTGGGACCAATGATTGTTTCCTGGAAATAACGGAAAGATGCTGCAGAGCCAACACACCTGAGGCAGCGGTTTATTGCTGAGGGCCGGCTTTGTTGCAGATGGCTGGTCAGCTCAATATAGGGCAGTGATATACTGTGGAGCTGCACCTTTTCCTCAAGTGACAAATCCACAGTGACATTACAGCTAACATTATACTGAGGGAAAAAAAACCCCACAGAGATCGATTTCTTATAAGAGTTAGTCTCCTTTAAAGTTCAGCCGGACTGAGCTAATCTGTCAACACCTCAGCCTCAAAGAAGCCGCATCACAATGAACACAGCACCATATAATAATAATTTAATTTTTTTTTAAAAATATAATTTATAGGGGCAAGGGGGGAGGGGGTTGTAGCATAATATGCCCTTAGATGTAAACAGTATATGGGGGTTGTAGCAGAATATGCCCTTAGATGTAAACAGTATATTAGCCTTTTGGATTCAAACTACAAACGTTTACATTCTTGAGCATCATGAGGCTTCTGTACACTCAATACTGACTTCAGTACAGTGTAAAAAAAGAAAAGAAAAAAAGTGTGGTGAGGCGACAAGAGGTGCTGCAGAAACAAGAAGGAATTACTAAGGAATCCATTTAAGGATAATGGCTTAACTGGGTCAGTGAGGAAACGATAACTGATGCGGAATCTGTTGGTTGGAGAGTTGTGGTGATTCACTCACTCACTGCCATCCATCATTCCTTAGCTTCCACAGAATGGAATTTATAAGTTATCAGGTGAGCATCCCAATCAAATGGTTTTCCTTAAACTTCCCCAGAATTCATACAAGGAATATTGTTTATGGAGACATTACTGTAAATGTTTCTTTAAATTTTTTTGCAATAGTGGTCATTTAACATTTTACAACTAACCAAAATAATTTAAATAAAAGATTGACTGTTGTTTTTTTACTAACAAAGTCAGTGTTAACTTTAAGATGCTTCAGCCTCCCCATGCATGAAGTTATTATAAATAACCTTTAACAACAACATCAGAAGACGTCGTCTACAGTGAGGACATTTGTCTGTTAATAGTTGACAGTTTTCCTTCCACATTCAGAGCTCCTAATATTAACGCATTGATGTATTCTCATGGACGGTCGTTTTGAAATCACTGACTGCTGACTTTCATTCTGCTGCCTCTCTTCCAAGGTCCTGGTGTATTTTGTGCTGGCACAGGAGAACTGAACAGTGCCATTGTCAGTTTTATTACACTTTTATTATTCTGAGACTCCAAGTATTTGCAATTATAAAAAGGGGTTAGCAGATTTAATAACTTTCAGTTTTCTAGCCTTGTACAAATGCAGCTTTAACTGTGTTACACGTAGAGTCTGCTGACATGGTCTGATGATTTGACAATGATAATCCCATTTTCAGGAGTGTTGAACACTTGTAATTGAATTGCGATTGACTTGGAAACTGAAAAAAATGTTACTCTTGTTACTCAACAAGCAGATTATTGAAATTGTATTAAATCTGGGAGATGAAGGAACATTCATTACATAGATTATCATAGACTTTTTGTCTTCTTCTAAAATACCACACTACAATTTATCTATTCTTTTATGTCCTGGAAACACTGTGTACAAACAAATGTGGTTTGTCTTTAAATAAAAAAAAAATGCTTTTACTTCTACTAGGATTTATGTTTCTCCTCTCCAGAGCAAAACAAACAAATTCAGGAGCAGCCGTGTGCAAGAGAGATGATTGTCTATTTTCAAACTCAATTCACATTCATTCATTTGTTTCCCCCTCTTTTCCAGACATTGGGATTTAACACCAGTGTTTGTGCTGCATTGCAAGGATTCAGCCACAACAGAAGGAGCTGCCGGGCCTATCAGTGTGGAGAAGAATCGGTGTGCCACCCTGAGGAAACTAAAGATGGAGAATCTACATTCATCACAGCAGTGAGGAAAAACACCACATTTTACCCTGTTGTGGCTTCATCTGAATATTCAACTTAAACCAACTACACTCAGAGATTCTTAGTTGGTCTCAAACCATTTCTGAACTCATCGAATCTGTAAACCATGGAACTGTCTTAATTTCATCGTCCCATGACGTGAGAGACGCGTTGACATCATGGAATCTAAGGAGAGTTTGCCAAGCCTGTCCACAGCTGCACTGGTGGCCATAGCTTGCAACACTTTTGTGGCCATTCTCCTCCTTCTCCTCTGTCTGGTCCTCTACCGAGCCTGCAGGGTTCCCTCCAGCCCCGAGAGGCTGCCTGTTCTGGCTCCAAGTGACAGAGAAACCAGGCAGATGACTGAGCAAAAGTACCTGCTGACATCCTGACTACAGACCGAAAACACACACGTAGTCCTGCCCAGGAAGACAGAGAGAGAGAGAACACCGAGCAATAATGTGGAGGTTCCTTAAGCTTTCTGAAATCAGCAGCAGAACGGCCGTGTCAATCAAAGGCTACAAAGTAAGCTATTTTTAAGCAACCGTCACTCGTCAGCTGCCACCCTAGGGTTGACAGGGCAGGATAGAGGAAAATACCGATGGTGGATTAATTTGATCAGCCTGAAAAACCACGCCATTAAATGAAGGATGCAGGAAAACACAAGACTTTTTAGAGAAAGCCACGCACACAAGGAACAGCTGGACTGTCTTTGTTGCTTTCTAAATATATCCTCTTATTTCTCAGTGCTAAAAAAAAAAAAAAAGGACATGGACTCCAGCCTGTGTGTACACTGTGTATGCTGCTGTCACTCATGAAAAGGTCGAGCTCTGAAGCATACCGTCTTTCTGAGAGTATTACATAAGGACCACAGAGGCTTAGTCCTTAAAACGGCTACTCTACATCTGCTCGTGGCTGAACGTGATGGTCGAGCTGCACGACACAGGACTGTGGCGAGGGATTGATCATGTAGAACCCTGCAGAACGCAGGAATCAGACATTGCCTAATGTGCCGCACATCCTCTGAAACAGTATCAGTATTCAGTGTTCAACCGGCGTGGCTGGGCTCACAGCATCATAATGAAGGAATATAAAACACTGCTACACAAAGTATACGTGATATTTAATCTACTTCTCATATAAATGACTTTTCCGAGCTTTACATACAGCAGATGTCATTCAAGTGTCACTCTGACTTGTGATTTAAGCCTGACATAAATGAACCAATGACGTGACCTTGCACAGAGGTCATTTACACAGAGTTGTGGGCATTTCTTTCAGAAACTAAAACCATATTTGTCTCATGGTTTGGCAGACCGCCGGGCTTGGTACTTGTATAACCAGGTCATATCTGACATCTTAACTGAAGTAGACAATTAGGTACACTCTCTAGAGATGCAACAAAAACTAACTTCATTTGAAGTAAGTTTTGGGATGTATTACCTTCCTAATAATGCCAAGGCATAAGTTAAACTCTTCTGATGTCCTGATATCCTAGATCAGTCTTGGGCAAACTAAGGCCTGTGGCCCAGATGCGGCCCATTCAACTATTTAATCCGGCCCGCCAAACTTCTCTGCTCTTTTCGACAGCCAAGGTAAATGTCACAACGGTGTCCCTCCTTAGTGATTCATGAACCCAATCATTGTTTCTAAGACGAGTTGAGGAGCAGTTGTTGGTGGAAAGTCACTCCTGAAGGACAAGATAATTCAGTTGCAATGGAAGAATAGTAGAAAAAAGGTCAAAATTAAAAGCAATATCGAGAAGACTCCCAGCAAAAATCATTGTTACGTCCTTGGACGAGTGCCCAGAACTGTGTGTACCTGCCAGGATAGTCATCTGGACGTGGTCCACAAATGCTTACTCTATTACACTTATTTATCTCCCTGTAATTCACTGGCTGTAACTCTCTCCTTCACTTTTTGGCTTAATCATCTTGTACCCTATATAAAAAGAACAGCTTCATCAGTCCGTACAGCAGAGGTCGGCCAATTTAATGTGGCTTGTGTGATATGTATCACATGATTGAAATTAAAATACTCAATAGAATATTTAACAACAGAAGAGACAGATTCTTTACTCTTGTACAGTGGATGGAATGAGAACAGTGTAAGTGAGGATTGTTATGGCCGCCGTTGTCAACTTGTGTTTTGTTCGGGTTCCCTCAGCAGACTGAGGAGCTTCTCCATCTTGGCTACTTCCACCTCTGGGCCTTCAGGGACTTCTTGACCCTTCTTGGCCTAGACCGACACAAGAACCAGCACGAACAAACACGCAGAAAACACCGTGGAGGATTAGAAATGTAACTGAGTTTTTTTTTATCATCTGACAACAAATTAAACCACCAACCCTGTAAACTTTAAATGATGGCTATGACAAACAGCTCTGTAAACCTCGCAGGAACAAGTATGATGTTAAATCGCCCATTATGCTAAGCTATTAGCACATAAGTAGGAGAAAATGTTTTATTTAACAAAGCGGAACAGGCAGAGGTAAATTGTGGATAACTTCATTTCACGCTTCGTATTTGGATTTGTGTGTAGCTATTTTAAAGTTTGTAATGGGCACAGTGTGGGGGAAGATCCAGACAGGCAGCTGCAATCCCTAAACGAATGAGCTTCATGTCTCAGTGCAACATAATATCTCTGCAGTGATGAATGGCTCAATAAAAATAAAACTCTTGCCTCAGTGGAGAGGCAGTCTGGCTGAGCACAAACCCTGTCTCTGTCTTTTCTGACTGTCTAATTTTCCACCGACACAAAGGGAAACGCTAGGACGGAGTGATAGTGCTAAATGCTTTTATCTCCCGCTTTTAACCATCAGTCTTAATTTTCGGGTGAAACCGAAAGAGGCTGCTCAATAAACACACTGAGGCTAGATCAAGCAGCTGGTTTATCAGAAATGGTTATTTGTTGCTGTTTATTTTCAGTGTGTGTGATTTAACCAGAAACTGGTGAGTGAACCACCTACTGACATTCTTCAATGTTAACATTCAACAACAGAGAACTGCACAGGGCTCAACATGCTCAAAATACAAGTGCAAAGCCACACGATGATACTCTTGAATTATACTGCAGTTATTGAATTAGCGCTGAATTGCACTTTCATGAGTGAAGAATCAGACAGATTAAAATACTGCATCCCCAGAAAATAACACCTCATCTTATAGTGTATTTATGTCATTTTATATACATGATAAATACTTATAATTCACATGAAAATGTTGCAGAGATCAGGTGAGTATAAACTTGCATATTATCAACTAAGAGTCAAGCCATATATTTTCTAATAAAGGAGACTCCCTATGTCCTTTGGTTTTCAACTTATTTTGATACTCTCCAAATCATAAAAAATAAATCCCTGAAAGGTTAGGGATTTGAAAGTGTGTCATTCTTAATCTGATTAATCACCAGGTGCAGATGGATCAATCACAACTAGTCATGAATAACTGAGACACTAAATTCTGTGTATTCTTGCAACAGAAAAATAAAGATATAGTTTTGTATTTCACAATTTTCATGCATGACTACTCCAAGTGGAAAAAACAAAAAAAGCACCAGTATAACATTTAGCTTCATTAGAGTTGGCTGAGCTAAAAACTGGCCAAAAACTGAACAGAACTCAGGAGAACAAAAAAAATAAAAACTGAGGCCAAACTCTGGGACAAAGAAAAAAAAACAAACACAAACAACAAGAAACACAGGCTTCACACAAATCTCCAGCAACAACAATTACCAAACTGAACCAATGACACATTCAGATTCTCAACCACAATCCCCAACAACCAAACAAAGACTGTGTCAGAGAGTGGGTGTATTTATAACCAGGGCAACAGGTGTGATGAATGAGACCAAACGAGCACACACACACACACACACACACACACAGGGCAGAGGACACAGGTGAGTGTGATCGACTGATTAGTCAGGGAGAGAAGCAGGCTGACAAAGCTGTGGACACTTGCAGGAAATGTCTTAACATATCACTATTATTATTATTGACATATTTATTATTTAAAACACTCTAACTGTGATGCAGTAATACACCACAGTGTACTTCAACTACCACATTGTTGCTTAAGTTAATATTCCATTTTAAAACAGTTCATTGGATCAATTGCAATTTCTTTTTCCTTTTCACCTTTTTAATAGTTTAACAGCGGACATAGTTGGGTGTTAGTTAGGTATAGGTGAATCAAGTACTGCTGCATACACTGACGTAGTCACTAAACTGATGCCATTATACTTACAGGATTTTTTTTAAACCCTAAAAAGCTCACCATAATATTTGCGTAATTGAGCTGTTGGGACAAAGTTAAGTGATCTCATAGAAGAAGAGCTACAAAGAAGTATAAATAATTGTTTATACAAATGCAACACAGCAACGTGTCTGAATTTCTAAAAAGCTGTTTTCATGACGAGCACAAGTGGTAAATGGTGTGGAGGCTGCACGAGTGGTTTTCAGAGGTTTATTTTTGATCCGGGACAAAGGGAATTTGAGAAAATAAAAATGTAGTGTACTACTACTACCAGTGTTGTAGTTTGATCGGGCTGCCGCAGTGACTCCATCGGACCTGTCAATGGTGTTATTTGCTGTGGGTGTTTGTCTGTAATGCTTAGTTTACACACTGGGCTCCAAATACTAAGAGCAGTGTCAGCAGTGCTGATCTCTGCAATTATTTTCCAATTTTGCCGCCTGGGCTCTCGCCTGGGGTCAGTGATGAGAGAGTGTGGAAATGCTTATGCCTATTCATTGTGCTGATGAGAATCACAGACGCTGCTAGAGTGCTGCTAATGTCTCCATCCGTGCATGTAAACTGTATGCATATTACACAGTTAGGTGTGAAAATGCAACGCATACAGAGTAAATCTGGCGTCAGAGCTAACTCTACATGGACCCTGATGAGCGTGTTGTTAGTCATCGTGCCATTTGATTTCCTCCTGTGTTTAGTAGAACTGCTGTGATTACTTCACAGCTTATTAATCATTGTCATCAGCGGCAACGTGGCCTTCAATGACTCATCGATGTGAATGGACCAAAAGGCTTGGTTACATTGTTATTACACAAAATTAGCTCAGGGCCAAGGCGCCGCGAGGATTAAAACTTCCAAATCAGCTTTTCGTCAATGTGCAACAGAGAGCATGATGAATAATGCAAAAGGGCTTAACGTGCATCAGAGGGTGAACATGCACAAATCATGCAAAAGCCTAAAGTTGCACCCTGTTTGGTGATAAGAGTGAAGGGAACAAAAATGATTACTATGGGATGAGTAGAGAGTTGGGTGTATATAAACTGAGGATAAGCTTTCTTTTGTCTGCACTAATAAGGCTTAACACTGAGGACAAAGTAGCAGAAGAGAAGACATGGAAACTTCGTATTTGCACCACAAAGTCGGGTAGTAACAGGTACTGATACTGGTACCGGAGTT